ATATTCTTCGGTCTCAATTTCGCTTCAATAGGAACTACAATCCCTTGCTCATTCTTCCCAAGCCCACCTCCTTTGTATCCCATTTTCTCAAGCAATTTCATACCAATCCCTCCATTGAAAGCTTCAAAGTTTTCGTTTTTACCCTTCTTCTCTCTCAATTTCGTACCTTTAGAAAGAAAATTGACAGGTTTGGTGGTTTTACGCCTCTTTCTTCGATTGTCGTCTGAATCATTAGAGCTTGAATCTCCATAAGTAGCGTCCTCCTTACTCTGTTCTCGCTTCTCCTTCTTCCTTTTGGATAAACTCTCGTAACCCATGATAATTAAGCCACGAAATTAGGGTTTCTGCAAAAAAAAAAATTAGGTTTTTCAATCGACAAAAACCCTAGGAAAGACGGAGAAACCTTAAACCACCGTTGATCTTAAAAAAAGAAGCTTTACCTGCGAACCACGTAAGCAAATACCAATTTCCAAGAAGCTCCTTACTTCCAATTTCCAAGAATTTCCAATAAAAAAAAGAAGCTTTACCTGCGAATTTGAGACAGAGCAAGGAAGAAGAAAATAACAAATTGTTAAAGCTTTTTGACCAATTCTAAAAGTAATAACAAAAAAGAAGCTTTTGACTAATTCAACGGAAGACTTATATATGCATTATTACTTGATTACAAAGGAAGCCATTCAAATACGACGGCGTTTTAATGAGAAATATGGTTACACAGGACAGGAATGATTATAGAGCGAACCAAATCACAAATATACTTGTAATTTAAAAAATCCGAATATCTATTTTGACCCATATATAACTTATATACATATATAATATGATAAATTTATGACGTAAATTTACATTGTATATATTTTAAATACATTTGGCGAAAATATATATAGTAACAAAACATAAATACTAGATTTTTAATTGAAATATATTTTACTTCTTATATTTTTTTCTTAAATAAAAAAAAATATATGTTTCAATTTTTATCATTTTAATCTTCTAATTTTCATTTCTCCTTAATTATCATAGGATAAAATTAGATAATTTCATATATTAGATATAAAAAAAAAACAAATCGAATCACAAATATTGTATTTTTATGGATATCCGCTCCGCACTTACCCATAACACTATATGGCTCTTTTTTGTTGTTTTTGAGAAAAATGGCACTACATTATTCAATATAATAATACTTGTTGATTTCTCATAAGCCAACAATCTTCTATCTCACCTAACTTATTTAATTAATGCTTGTATAACAAATTTTCTTGGTTTCACTTTCTCTATACTTAAAACTTTTCTTACTTTACAAAGATGATGAAGTTGTGGAGGAGAAGGAAGGAAGAAGATAAAAGAGTGAAGTGGTTTTTGAAGAATGGAAGCACTTTTCTAAAGGAAATGATCATTGATTGTAACGGTACATCAAATCCTATATGCATATTCTCTTCTGATCAAATCCTTAAGGCAACCAACAACTTTGATCCGAGTAGTTATCTATCTCATCACATATTCTTTGCTTGGCACAAGGGAATTATTCAAGATAGATGTTACTTGATCAAGAGATTTAAAGAAGAATATATATTAGAAAGCTACGAATCAGTGGTTTATAATGATATTGTGATATCTTCTCGAGTTAGTAACCACAATAACTTTCTCAAGCTATTAGGATGTTGTCTTGAGTTTCCTCTTCCGGTTCTGTTATTCGAATATGCGGAAAACGGTGTTATGGATGAGCAAGGAGGTGTTGGTAGTGAGAATAGATTGCCTTGGAATGTTCGATTGAAGATTACAAAGGAAGTTGCTAATGCTGTGACTTATCTTCACACCGCGTTTCCTAGGATCATTATACATAGAGAAATTAAGCCGACGAATGTGTTCTTGGACAAGAATTGGACACCGAAGCTGTCTGATTTCTCTTTCTCTATATCTCTCCCTGAAGGTAAGTCATGGATTAAAGATAAAGTGATGGGAACACCTGGATACATTGATCCTTCTTATTTCTCTACGAATATAGTGAGTGAATACACTGATGTGTTCAGCTTTGGAATCTTTTTGTTGGTTCTTCTGAGTGGGAAACCCGCTGTTTTCGCTGGATCGTTTCGAACTCATGATAATATTCATGATTATGTGAAAGGTTTAGAGGAGAAAGGAGAGTTCTTTGCACTTGGGAATGCGTTTGGTGAAAAATCGATGTATACATTTCTTGAGCTGGCTTTGAGATGCTGTAAGACGAGGAAAGAAGAGCGACCAAAGATGATCGAAGTGGCGAAAGAGATTAAGCTAATAGAGCAATCGTTAGATGTTGCATCAACAGAATATAAAGACGAGCTAGAAAGAAAAGGCAAGAAACTTTACATAGCCTAAAAGGAAGAAGGGACTCATTGTAATAGCTTTGGTTAAATTTTCAAGAACGGTTTCGGAGATCCAACGTGAATCTATGTGAAAGATGACATTGTTATATGTTTATTCTTATTTTGGATCGATAAAAACAAAAAAAAACTTAACTTGTTTTGGCCTAAACAAGCATCCTTTTAAGTTCTTTGGCAACTTCAATCATTTTGGGAACTTCTCCTACACAGCCAATGCATCTAAGTGAGAGTACAAAAAAAGCTTTCAATTTCCATAGCTCTTGTTCTTTGCAGCTTTCCAACACATTTGGATCAATGATCTCAACAAATCTACCATCTTCCACCAACTCGATAGGAGAAACCTTGTAAAGTTGGTCAAAAAGACTCGGTTCCCTTGCGGTCAAAAGAGTAATCATGAATGCACCAAAGCCATAGACATCAGTGTTCTCTGTTACTCTTCCTGTACACATATAGTTGACATCAAGGTAGCCAAAAGTTCCTTCTACAATCTCTTCAACAAACTTTTCTCCTTCCAGAATTAAGACAGAGTTCTCAAACTCACCAAGTTTCGCTGTCCCTTTATCGTCCAAGAAGATCTTACACGGTTTCAAATCTTTGTGGATGATGATGCTCTTTGGGAATGCAGTGTGAAGGTATGTTAAAGCTTCTGCGACTTCCTTTGCAATCTTCATTCTCATATTCCATCGTAAATTCACATCAAATAAATAATGTGATCCAATTTCTGGTCTGCATATTATACTCTCTGCATATTCATAGACTAGAACCGGATAAAAAAACTCGAGACAGCATCCTAATAGTTTGAGGAAATTCTTGTGACCACTAACCATTGATGATATTGCTATATCACGACAAGTCTTTCCACTGCAGGGACTATAATTTGCTACCCATTTCTTGACAAGGACGAGGCGGTCTTCAAGCATACCTCTGTAACATTGGTAGCTACTAGCTTGACGAACAAGAGAATTACTCTGACTGAAGTTGTTAGTGGCTCTAAGGATCTGAGAAGCAGAAAATGTTTTGATTGGATTGGATTTTCCATCGCAATATTCGATGAGCTTTTCTAGCACCACCTTGCCATTCTCTTGGACTAACCTCTGCTTTTCATTTGCTTCTCCTGACTTCTTCCTTCTCCACCAACCCATTTTAAACACTAAGATGTAGTAATTGATCCTTCAAGGCCTAAAGAAGAAAAACCAATCTTTCACAAGTTCATGAGTTGCCATAGTGGAAGTATGAGGATGGTTCAGTGGAAACTGCCTCTTTTCTTAAGATATATGAAACATTTCAGGAGAAAGGATAAATATTTATCAAGAAGTCTTGCTTCATTTGTGGACCATATTTCTATAAGCATTTACTTAGGTGTAGAGACAAAGAAAAGACTCTAAAGTTGACTTTTATAAATGCTGACTGCTTCTCATTCTCCAGCTGTGAGCAATTTTGGACTGACATAACATCAAAGGAAAAAAGTTTTAATTTTTTTTTTTTTGTATTAATGAGAAGCTTTGGAGGATTAAGGGAAGAAGACCAAAGATTGAATCAGTTGTATTTCAAAAGCAAGGAAGAAGAACACTGTAAATGATCAAAGTGGCCAAGGAACTTAAGCAAAAATGTAGAGAGTTCATGATCAGTGATTTCAGTATAGGAATGATAAATCTTTTGTTGTTCTTGAATACTTTTCAAGACAAACTTTACTTATATACAAGACACTTAGAGAGTTTATATATGTTAATCAATTTCCTAACACTACTTGGTCTAGGATCTCTCGATCTTCTTTAGTTCCTTGGAGACTTCCATCATCTCTGGAACTTCTCCTTGAAGACCAATGCATCTGAGTGAAAGTAAGAAAAAAGCTTCCATTCGACATAGCTCTTGTTCTGCAATGTCACTTATGTTTTCCAACATAGCTGGATCTAAGATCTCAACGAATCTACCATCTTCCACCAACTTGGTCAGAAACTCTGGATGTAGTTCATCGTCTAGACCCGGAGTTTTTCTGCTCAAGAGAACTAACATGAATACTCCAAAGCTGTAGACATTAGCATTCTCTGTGATCATTCCCTTTGACATATAGTTAGGAACCGTACGTACCCTCTAGGTTGTTCCTTCGCACAAAAGATTCTCCTTATGGAATCGTAACACAATTTCTGAAATCTCCTAACTTTGCAACCCCTTTCACATCCAAGAATATGTTACGAGGATGTATATTTCTGTGGACGAATGTTGTCGAGAAGGCGGTGTGAAGGTAAGCTAATGAATTTAAGATTTCTCTTGCTATCTTTATCCTCATATTCCATGGTAATGCTGGATCCATTTGATGATGATCACTCACCATTATGCTTTTTTTTCACTAGTGGCAATTAGCTCTTCAAGCAGTAAAACTCTCCTTCTTTATTAACACTCTCGGTGACTCCACACACTGAGTAATGTAATGTGGTAAGAGTATGAAACTTTTCTTCAGACATTCACTAAGCTATATGGAGAGACAAGAGAGCAAGAAATTGAAACACTTTTATCTAGACAGAG